TCTTGAAGGGGCTGTTGAAACGAAAGGTTTGATCAAAACCAGGCGCAGACAGAATGCATTTTTCTGTTTTAACAGTAGTTGTATTTCAGAAAAAGATACATGAAGAAAATTGCTTGACAACGCAACCTTCTCCAACTTCACACCCTTGAGTGTATACCCAACTCTCTACCACAATTCCCAGACAATTTCCAAATTAACAGCCTTGGAGATATCGCAGCTATCTAACTTCGCCTCTCTCACCCCTTTCCCCAAAATCACATAGCCCTTCCACCCTTTTCATCCATATTTATGCCCTCTAATCCCCCAATTACTACCAATGGATACATTTCTCAAATCCACCTCTCAAATCCACCACCATTCCCATCGAACATAAGAAAACATATCAATACCTATCTAGAGCCCTCCATCAGCCGTGTTGCCCTCTTCCGATCGTGCAACAAACCTCCAAGTTCTACACTGATGTAGAGCAACTTGAAGATTTATTATTTACTGAGCATTCCGTAAATTCAGATAGATAGATAGATAGATTGGTCGTTTGAATGTTTGATATGAGGTATCTATCTCTTTTATCAATCTCTCTCCTTTCCTTGGAAGAATCTGCGGGGAAACCTGGCCGAGTGAAGAAAGTTCTATGAGATAAGTGGTGATTTATTGGCTCGTTCGCTTTTGCGTATGAGGATATACACGAATCTCGCTGTTGATTAGATCAGATGGATAGGTACTTTGGAATGTACCTGAGATACTAGATCGGCAATGGGAAGTTGAGATGTGTGGAATGTTTATATGGGTAGTACAGTGTTGTAGACGTGCAGGTATTGATAGGGTAGAATACTTTTATAAAATTTTCTTGTGAAGAAGGATTGGGCGGGTGGATGTTTTGGGGATGATAGCGATTTCTACAATTTCCGAGAAAGGGTTTGTTGGAATAGAAACGTGTGCAATTGCTTGAGATTATTGCATTTCGTGGTTCGATTCTTGGGGTAAATAATATGTATGTATATATGCAAAAGCAAAAGCAAAAGCAAAAGAATTAAGAAGCCTCCTCTCTCAAGAGAACAAACAAGCACAGGGAATCGGAGAACTTCATCTAAATCCTCATATTGAATCAAAAAGTTGTTTAAAAACTTACATTCAGCTAAGGAACCAAGCTAAATGTAGAAAACGGCATGGCTTGATAGCTCATTACCAAAGAAGAGGAGCTAGATTGCCAGCTTGCCTAGAATTGAATACCCAAAGAAGAAAAACTCTTCCTTAACCTATGTAAACTCCGAAGCCGAATCCAAATCCAAATCCAAATCCAAATCCAAATCCAAGAATTTCAATCAGTTAATTAGATGGGAGGACCAGCGACCTTGAAGGGGTGAGCTTCGGTGTTGAAAACCCATTTGTTGACGCCACCGCCTCCAACTTGGTATTCTGCGTCCTGTTTGATGGGTGTGAGCACGTCTAACTTTTTGATTTGGGTAACAGAAAGGGGGAAGGAAAGATAGAAAGGAACAAATAAGAAAGAGATGCTTACATCTCCGTGAATCAAATATGCATATTTCAAAACCTCAGCAAACAAGAAACTGTCCTGGAAATCACTGAAACCGCCTCCGTTCGCCGCATTGACATTTTGGAGTTCAGCAAATCCGCTACCGGTTCTATGATTGCAAAGTCAGTTGTAAAGCCTCGCTAAAAATGATAGAGTTAAGTGAAGTCATACCTCGCCGTTGCATTTATAGCAACAAATCCATTCCAACTCCACTCACGATACTTCTCATCTCCAGTTAAGCGATAAGCATAGTAGAAAGACTCAAGGACTTCGGGTCTTAGAATATAATCTGAATTGGTGATATAGAAGCCGGCTTTCTTATAGAAGGCGAGTTGATCGGCAGGTGGTGGAGGGTTTTGGGTATCGTTGGCAGAAGTGTTGCTCTCTACCCATCGGAAAACTTCGGGTCCAATACCGGTGAGTGTGCTGGCGTATGTGTCTTCACAGCCGTTGACGAGCTCGAGTCCGAAATCAATGTACTTTTGCTCGTTGAGTACGAGACCTGCGAGGAGGAAATTGCCTCCGTCGAAACAAGCGACTGTGTTTCGTGTCAGTATTATGGTTCTACTAGTTTGGAGTCCATTGGTGATGAGTGTACTTACGATGTTCGGAAACAAAAACACGTGTTTTGTTTTGGTAGGCGGCCATAAAGGTCAGATCTGGACGAGTTGAGGGGTGACTAGCCAAATGTTTGATGGATGAATCTGCAGCTGCGACCCATCTTTCTTTGTATTTGCCGAATCTAGTCGTGTCATACACGTACATCTTGATGAGATACTCGTAGAAACTGTCATCGCCACCTACCCAGCCTCCGCTTGCGTCTTGGAAAAGTCCTGTGTTGATATCTACATTTGTACCAAGCAGCCCTATAGTATCACTAGTCAGTTATTGCCTTCAAAATGAGAGATGTAAGTGGAATAGGCGAATCGTTGTTAGATTTGGGGCCACAAGAAGAAAAAAAGATGGAATGAGACATGAAGTTGGAGCGATCTCAGATGGATTGGGATAATAAAAGACTGAGTTGATGCATACCAGGCCATGGCGAGTTGTACTCGGGTTTTGGGTCCAAAAGATACGATTCTCCCTTTTGGGAGAGTTTAGCATAAGTGTCGTTACCGGTCAAATCAGACAAATGGGTCCACTCAAGAACTAGTGAGCCAATTGTTGCGATTCCGTTTGTGGTAGAACCATCAGTGCTTGGAGGGTTGAAGTAAAGATTGTTAGCCGGTACTCCTGAAGGTGTATCAAATGCAAATGCCATATTGTCAGCTAGGCGTGCTGCCTGAGCAAGAACCTCATCGACGGCCGTGTCGTTAGAATTGAGGTTGGAAAATGGTCCTTTGAGGAGATCGTAACCTAAAGTATCTAAGATAAATGGGGTTTCAAGATAGACAGCGGAAAACTTTACCAGCAAGTAGCCCACCAACATATCTGATGGTAGTCTCAAATAGCGAAACTTGTGAACTAGTTTCGTCGAAATTGATGGTTGGGATCCAATCTAAAATCACGTCTACAATTTCCGGAATCTCCATGATGATTGCTGTGCTGAATGCATCTACAGCAGAGGCTCCCCATCCATTCCTTTTTGCAAGTTAGCTCAGGTATCGTGACGCATGGTTTTGATTGCTGTACCTGGAATCTGAGTAACTGTTCGCAATTGGATGAAGCTCGTCATGAGGGAAGGCGTATTTGTAATATCCATTCCAAGCAAACGAGAATGCCTCTTTGACAGCAGCCTGTCGATCTGCAGCCGATTTTGCTGAGCTGCCATAGGTTTGTCTTTTTTCAGACTGAGGACCGTGAGGTACAGCCAACGTAGTTAGGCATAGAGATGCCAACGCAGGCGCGGTTGTAGAAATGAAACGCATTGTAATATTAAACCCAAGAACTATCTATGGGAAGTCACGAACCTATTCGAGATTAGCATTCCATAGTGTTATTCGCTTTTGGCTGCTTAACTTACGTTGCAATATTTGCAAAGAAGATGAGGCAAACGAACGAACTGCTTGTCTTTATAGGAATTCTGGAGTTGAAATCCGAGTTTGGCAGAAAGACAGAGCGGGAGGAGGCTATGTGGAACGAAGGTTCAAATGAATCAAAATGAAATTACCTGCAACACTAGCCTTCGAGGGATTTGGTGAATCACTATGGAATCCTAATGATGATGACAAAGAGGGGTAACCGAATAGTGAATCCAGTGAGCTAGTACTCGGGTGCCTCGAGGAGATCTGAGTCTAGAAAGGAAGACTAGAAGAATCTAGATAGAAAAGAAAGTGTAAACTCGAGGGACTTCAACGTTTTCTTAAATGTAGCAGATCACACAACGTAGGAGTACAAAACTCGTAACTCCATGAACCTAATGGTTCACATGAGGATAAATCTGCAAGGAACACTCGGATTGAACATCAAAAAGCTTAAGTTCCGAAGATCCTGTCACCGGCCAGAAAAATCTTGAATATATATTGAATGTGTGCATTGATTTCTTCCCCTACCGAATTGTTTTTGGCTTGTTCTGCGTGATAGTAGACGCACATGCACCAACGTTAAGTCATGTCGAAAGCCTCCATTGGCATTTGACTCTCGGATAAGCGCATTTTATGCGGGGAATCTGATAGTATGATGATAGTTGTTCTAGAGCAATGTTGATCATATGCGCCGGCTATATGAGCTTCCCTATACGTGTTAGGTCAAGTATATGAACCTAGTATACTTGTAGCTGCATGTTCCTCAAGTGTCATTATTCAGTCGCGGATAAAGTAACGTTGTAGATATTGGTGATAGGAGCTACTAGTTCAACGAGCAAGCATACTAAGCCAAAGAATGAGGGGAAAGCGACGTACAACAACGTACAAGAGTGTACCAAAAGGAACAATTGCATACAGTCTGGATTTCACGACGTGTTTTTAAAGTGTTCGTGAAAGCGTCTGAGCGAACGGAGATTTCTTATGAAGATGCACGAAATGCTTGTGGACAAGGTCACGGACCACAATTAGACAAATCAGACAAATCAGACACCACGAGTCAGATCTCGTAGCCAGTCAAGGACCAAGGTGTACCAAGGTGTACCAAGGTAGTATCTTCAGCAAGCCAAAGAAAAAACTCTTTCTCTCAAACCCCTGGTGCTAAAAATAATACGAGTAGAAATGCCGGAGAAGCACTTATCGCATCTGAAATCACGTGTAGATCCAATCCATATCGGATAAGTCCGAGCGAGCAAGCAATCTTACTTGGGATTCTATTCCATCGATCTACTTTGAAGATCTTCAGCGGTCAACAAATACTTCACGAACGGGTAATTTGTTCTTTATTATCTTTGCAGACAGAGATATCCATGGATTACAGAGTATAATCTCATCCCGCGTGAGTCTGCACGTTGACTCTCCTGGGGTATCAATAACTAAGGTCTAAGATACCATAATCCGCATTTTCCGGATCTTTTCCCCAAACATGTTGTGATCATCTATACTCAGTCCAATGGCTCCATCTCCATCTGCATCTCGCAGCCAGTTTCAAGGATCAGGGGAAATAAGGTATCATTGCATGTTGTGCGTGATGCTTTCACATCTGCACGAACCCACCTCTGTCGGCGTATCTTGGTCCGCTCCATCATTGTCTGCGCGGATAAAACGCCTAACTGTTTGTTGATAATATCCAATCGACCGAGAACCCAGTTGTACAAATGCTGCGGTACACCAATTCCTCCACCAACGACGAATAAGGGCCAAATCATCAAAAACACTGGTATACCGCTCATTTGAGGTAACAACGTTGGACGTTCCACTAGTGTGGTATGGTCAAAATAACTAGAGATGCTAGTGCAAATATCTGTTGCCATCCTGTTGATTATTTTTAATGCTTTCATCTTTTGAACCAAATGTTCAGACGTCAGGTATGTCATCCTATTCAAATGCTCGAGAAGAAGTTCATTCAATAATATTCTCATCCATCGATAGTGATTAAACATTCGCGAAATCCAGACATCACAATATTCATGACATTTCCCATTGAAAGAACTCCCATCTGGCAAGTCTCTGCTCCGTACAGTAAAATTCCAGTCAAGAGGGAGATTTGCTTCCCATCGCTCCAATTCGCCATCCAGGAAAGCTAGCGCCGAAACAATTTCAACTAGATTGGTAAATGCTTTCGCCCTGATGGATGCGTAAAGATTGATGAATCGAATAGCAATCTCAACCACTGCAGAAGCAGTCACGTCTTGCGTTCGCTTGTTCTCTAGAATAAGCTTGGAAAAGTCGATTAGTTGCGTCGAGGGGAGGTTCTTCTCCTCAAAGTACTTAATATGTGCAGCAAAAAAAAAAAATTGCAACTGGAGTTTCGTGGTCGGTTTGTTTTCCTCGTAATTTCTTAAAGCTAGTGTTTCCAATAGACTTAAAGCACCGTTGAAATGCACAGACAGTGAATGTGATTCACGGGGTGCAGTGTTTATCAACTAAGTTGTTAGAGTTGTTTCGTGGTTCGTGAATGGCGACACTTACCTCGAAGATGATTAACATCACAACTTTCTGTAAGAGTCCCTCAATATTTGCATTCACAATATCTCCAAGTTCCCGAATCACAAAATTCACAGTATCAGAATGCTTCTTTCTTGCAATCTGCATCAAATTGGGATTATTGGTGGCGTTTGATAGTCCAGCCAGTCCCACCGAAGAAACTGCTTCTAACGTTCTTCTTTACACGAACGATTTAACAGACATAGTTGGCATTAGATCAACCCAGTTATGTGTGCGTTCTAGTGGAATCGTCATATAATACGTTAGAAAGAAGGCTATTCCCTTATCATCCAAAGGACACCAGTTCTTGGCTATGGGCAAGTTCGATATAGGAGGATTTCTAGATTCGAATTCTGTTATAGAGACTGCGGCTTTGGTTGCTAGTCGTGTAATAGGAGATGAAACCTTGAATTTTCCATTGTGAGGAGAACTTTTAGCTCTCACAATAGATGTACTGTTTACGGAATTGGCTTTTCGCAAGGTCCTTTCATTCTCATTCCGAAAGCAAAGTTCTAGCTGATCGCGATACCCTGGACAAATCTTGCCCACTCGTATACATTGTGTACAAGCCGGTGACTTCTGGTCACACTAGGATAATTTTAGTACTAGGGGTATTGATTGGGTGGAATGATCGGACCTTTATCCTTCTCTTTCGGCAGCATAAACATGCCTTGCTTGGCTTTCCGCAAAAAACCATGGTGGTGGTTTGTACAATCAACGGTTTATGAAAGCCAGTCCCGAACTGGTTTACGACTCATGTTCGTCACGAGAAAGCACCAACTCCTCTTCGGCAGTGAGTGGATGAAATCTGCAAGTAGGCGGGTTTAGCGGATATGTATGTCGCGCAAATACCTCCCTCCCCATATGCTATCTGACTGTTGGGAAATGCAGGCTTTTGGTAAGATCATAAATATATTGAAACAAGTTAGGTATAGTATTTTGTGAATCTCAAGGAGCTGACCGCGATTAAGGGTATATGAGAGTATTTGCGTGCATAAGCACTATTCCGGAAAGGGTAAACAATTCGCCATGTCGGTCGCGACAAGCATGAGAGTCGGTTCCGTCCTCTGATCAATGCATCGACTACAACTCTATAAGTAGTGTTTTTCTGTATTGGTAAATTAAGAGGGTCCCTCTAATGATGACGAACGATAAGAATAGATGTTGTCAAGCGCACAGCTAAGTAAACTTACAAGTATTTCAACAGATTGTATCAAATGAAATTAAGAAATAAAAAATCCCACACGGCTAACACGCAGTTGTCTTTACCATCTGCATTCTCCTACGAACCAAAACCGAATACCCCTTGAACGACTTCGCCAATCAGTACCTTCCAATCATGGTTTCGACCTGCCATTGATATATCTGGCATGCTTTGGCAATCTCCATTGCATATGTGGGAGGTATTTTGCCGGGTGCCAATAGTTGAAGAGTGCCACACAAGGGAAAGTAGGGAGCGCATCAAAAACATATACACTGTTTTCTCGTCTGTTAGCCAATCTCTGCTCCCTTTATTCGGCATCCACCTGAAACAGATTGAAAGAATAGACACTCACCACCACTCATGTTCCTCAGTATACCCCGTTCTCCCTAGCGCGAAATCCACCATGCGAAAAACACTCCTGATCAAAATCAACACGCAAGTAATATTGACCGCATGTAACAGCGCCTGCCAATTTGGCTTGAGCTTTTTCTCTGCTCGATCGATCATGACATATTTCTCATCCTTGCTCTCGCTATCGTTTGGAAGAGTAATGCGCCGTTGAAACTCCGATGTAAAGCGTCGAGATGTGAAATTGAATCGGATAGCGATGATGGAAAAAAGTCCAAAACATGCCATCTGGATTGGGACTCCAACCAGAGCAATGTTTTTCCCTTTACTCAGCTTGGATTGCGCGTCGGCAGAGGTTATATCGATAGATGTGATGCGCACGACACCAATTAGTTGAAGGAGAAGCGCAACTTAAGGGTGTTTGTTAGTGGTTGATACATGGATTTTGAGTTTGAGATGTGAGCTGCTTACGGATGTCGCAGACTACGAAAATAAGAGTTATGAACCGAGGGGGAATCCAGAGGAGCTTGGTAGTTCGTGCTTCCTTGGGGACGACGTGGTAGATAATTCTCCCCTGATGTTCACATCGTTAGCGACACTTCAACGCTTCCAAGATAGCTCGGCTAGGAAAGAGCTTGGACTCACAAAAACGATATAGCAAGTAGCGGCCATGAGAACAGGTGATAGTACGATAAGTGCAGTTTGCGCCACATAAATTGATTTTTCGGCAACATGTTTCGAGGAGATTGCTCGGATAATATAACCTGCTCCTTCCACTACAGAGATATCGTTAGTGCGAACTCGGGATATAGGGTTGAGAAAGGGAAGAAATACTTACTGGCAGCAGCAACAACCATGATAGCCCATACCCCGGCATTGTATCTGAGCCATTGGAAGAAGATAACGAAGAATGCTAGGGAATAGAGAACGCCGACTGCGAGGGCGGCGGAGAATGATGGATCATAGTTGTAGTGAGATAGTGTTCTGGGTTCTGGTGTGAGGACCATTGGTAGCGAGGGAGTTGCTTCTGTGGTCTGAATTGTTGTGGGTTATTAAGTGAGTGAGTGATTCCTGCTTAAGACGATTGTAGCAAGTGAAATGAAGTAGCAATCTGAAGATTTTTCTTCAAGAGAAGAATTGAGAAGAGAACGGGAGTACAGGATAGAGGTGATGAGATGCAAATAGTGGACTTATATGTTAGCTTTTGATCGTTTTACATGACTGTAGTTTTGACTCGAATCATGCTCATATTCATTTGATGAATTGCTTGCCTATTCTAGAAACCTGCTGTTGGTGCTCAGCCCCAACCAAAAGCGTTGCATTGGGTAGACTCAAAGTAACATACCTGGCTAAATTATGTAGAGATAGCAAGGCTCTCTCAACAGTTGCATGATTACCAAAAGGGTAAGCAGATCGTCTCTTATCGTTTAGTCATCAAGCATTCACATAAACTTCTACTGATGGCTCACGAGTTTGCAAACTGTTATGAATATGATGTAAAGATTCATTATGTATTAAGAAGATCTAAACTACTATATAATGCCAAATCTGCCCATTTATATCTCTGTATGATCTCTTTGCCTCTGACAATTAACATCGGACTCCACCCTTATGGACAATTAAAATAGATATATAAACGTGATTCTACCAAATGAATGTGAGAGATCGATACAAGAGAAGAAATATACCCAAAAAGAAACCGATTTATTGTGAATTTTGAACCTGAATGACCCGAGAAACTTTTAATCACAATCTGTGTGAAGATGCAATGTGAGGTATATGAGGAAGAAACATTTTTTAGATAAAGAAAAGACGCAAGCCATGCATGGTATGATGCGCTAAGTAAATGTTGACAGAAAAAGAGAAAATTACACGCGCCCAAGAGCGGTGTCTAGATCACGAAGGAATGTATCCTCTCCGGGTAATCGTTTAGAGGGTACGATCAATGAGGAACTCTCAGATCTAGTATCATAACTAGTGCTGCCTCTAGAGAGCATCGTAAGACGTGTGGATGCCCCTTTCCTCATCGGCGACTGGCTTCTAATAGAATTGCCACTGGGTGTATGGATACCGGGAGGCGTGAGGAATTGGAGATCGGGAGTAGAGACATTGCTATCGCCAGTTCGATAGCCAGCGAAGTAATCATTGATATTTTGATAGCCCTTGATACCACTGCCGTAACCCATGTGGGACCCAGGTCGTTCGAGAGTGGGGGATGGAACCACGGTCGAAGCTGCTTGCATGGATCGTGCCATGATGCTAGGACTGGATCCCCGGAAGATGGATGGTCGAAGAGGTGGACCCTGGAGAGAAGGTACAGATGCTTGTCCCCACATATTACTTGCTACTGGAACTGATTGCAATGCAGGTCTTACTGTGGGTGCTGGTGGTTTCGAGGGGAATTTCATGTCGTGGCGAGACTTTCCAATCCAGAGCATCTGCTCATGCTCTCTGAGATATCTGTTACCTCCGAATGATTTCTGAACAATTTCTCGACTTCGCATTCCAAGGGCTCGAAGTTCGCTCTTCTTCTCATACATTCGCTTTGTAATGATCGCAACTTCTTCTGCGGAAGGCTTGTCGATGATAGAAGGAGGCTTGTAACCTTGAGGGTCATTCGCATAAGGAGCCCACTCATCCAGAAGAGCAAGCATATTGATCTGCGCTCTTGCAAGACTTTGTGCATCATTGGGGGCAACCACAGCGCTGAAGCAGTCGCCGGTATTAGGATCTGTAAGCACCCGAAGAGACGCCCCAACATCTGTACATACAACAGGCGCGCCAGTCAAAGCCGCTTCTCCCAATGCCAAGGGTAGCCCCTCAGAGATAGAAGAATTGAGAAAGACCCAAGTTTTCTTGAGCACATCAGTTGGGCTTGCAGTTCCGCACAAATTGACATAGCCTGGTAAGGATTTGGAGGCTAAAATTTCGAAACAGTCTGTTGAGTATTGTGGTGCTTTGTCGATTGCACCGTAGATATCGAGGCGGTAGTCTTTGAATCCCCATACATTCACAATGATATCAGCAGCTAGAATAGCAGTCTTGATGTCCTTCGCATACCAAACATGAGAAAGCATGGTGACTGTTGGCAAAGGCGAAGTTGTCTCCTTGATTGGACTGAATTTTGAGATATCTGCAGGTGGGATACCATTAACGACAGGATCAATCTTGCGCTTGAAAATGTTTCGGTGCTGTAGTTTGCCTTGGTGTGATCCAATTTCAACTTCCCATCCAGGATTGAAGAAGTCAGCGCAAGGTAGAATGACATCGGCGTGGTGAAGTGTCAGCTGACTGGTGAGCTTCATAAGACCAAGTAACGAGTTTCTGACAAACGGTGGTAGAGAACAGAGATCTGAAGACAGGTAGAGATTTACTTCGCGCCAACTGATAGCGTGATCCCAGATTTGCAATGTGCTTCCTCTGGTAACCTTGCACACAACTCCGTACGCAGCACTGACGGAATGATGTGACGCTTGGAAAATTGCCGGAATTCTCTCAGGCATGGGAAGGGAGAATATGAACAAGTAGCGAAACCAAAGGTCGAGTGCGGCGTCAAGTTGAGCTATTGTGGGTATCTCAGTCTGAAACCAACCCTCTGAGGGTGTTGGACTCACAAGATCTTGTGAGATCCATAGATTCCGCCAGGCAGTCTTAACGATTCTACTGTTCCAAACACCCGTCCAGTGTTTTCCTTGGGAGAAGTACGCGTTTAGATTGACCAAAGCTCGGGTTGATTGAAGAATGTCACTGTTCGAATATTGACTCGTTCTGGCCCCTTTCACTAAAGCTTTGAGAATGGGAACAAAATTCTTCTGGATATCTAGCTTTGTCGCATCTCTGACAGCATGAACGACCTCTGAATCTAATCGATCTCTGAAAATTCCATGGGTCGGGGTCATGAAATCGAGTCCCCAAATTGGAATGACTTTTAGTGTTTGCACGTTCTCTTGTGTTTGATGTTTAGGCACTCCAAAATCATTCGCAGATTCTGAAATCATATACCATTTCGCCGCCTTAAGATTGTTCACCATGTCTCTTCGGCATGCAGACACTCCTCCTCCTTCATTGGGCCAAGTTCCGGAGTCTGTGGCGAGAACATGAAGCTCATCGCTTTTGAAATCTGGAGCAGACCTAGTGCGAGCATTGGCAGAACCTCCCTGTCCGAATGCGTACAAGTCTGCAATTTGAAATGCAAGTGGTGCCCAACCCGAAATTGATTTATCGAGATCGATAACAGCCATAATCGCGTCTGCGTTCTCATGCAAATATTCTTCAGCCGACTTGAGGTTGCCGTGATCACGTCTCTGAAAATATGGGCGCATCATTGGTTCCCGTCGAAGAAGTCTTTCGTCAAGCCATCTCATGATTACACCATCAAACGCCGAATTGTTTTTCCATGCTTGCCATAGCCTCGACCTAGCTTTCGAAGTGGAGACTGGATTTTGATGGGTATTCAGACCTAGCCATCTGGGCAGAGCATGTGAACGTAATGATTTGAAGCCAATCATGTGATCGTCATGTCGAAATGTGAAGTTCGTGGGTTTTTTAAGGATCCCGAGATGATCCCATTCTATCAGCGCTGGTGTATCGACAGGCTCGCCATTCAATGTTGTGTATATGGTCGGATGATATTTATGATCGTATGACCACTGTGCCTCATATACATCGGGGCCGATGACAAAGGTAGCCTCAATAACTTGTGAATGGGGTATCCATGTGTCCAGCTTGTCTTGACGTTTTACAGGAGGAGCTGCCCATGATACCATACAAAACATATGCGGCAATACAAACTCTGCTCTCAATAACTCATCATCAAAATTGCTGTTCTGTCTGTAATGGCAATGGAAGCGCACAAGATTTCCATCGAGCATGTAGGATCCACTTTGAACAAGACCTTGCTTATTGAACAACACTTGTTCATATTGGTTAGCCCCTTCCACACATCGTCGCGAAATTGGATAGCGACGACGTGTTGTCATGATTGTCTGTTTTGGAATGTTCTCCAAGTCGTACTCATATTCGTAAACGTTTGCTTTCGCGCCTTTGACATAGTCTTCTCTGCGTAAAAGAAGAAGATCCTTGCTATAAATGCTAATGCGCTCAAGCTTGGCTGAATCAGCTGGCTCTTGTTTCATGACGCCACCATACTGACGGAGCTCGCAGACACCGTCGCCGAGTAATGACTGTTGTATAGCTTCATAATCTTCCCTACCATTGTTGACGATACGGCTACCAGCAATGCTGGCTGTATCCGGGACTCGAACAAATGCTGTTGAAGACCCTCCAGTGCTCTCTATCATTATCCTCTGACGCTTTAATGATACTGTTGTTCCACGTATCTGTTTCCAGAGAGTATCTACATTCTTTCTACCATGGAGCAAGAATATTGGCATCAAAAGATCCTGCAAAAAATGGGTGTATGACCATATTCCAGTTACAAAGAACATGACAATCAATCGTATGTACTTTGGAGTTGACTTCATGGTATAATCAAGCTCTCTTTGCAATTCCGGTTCCGCCACAAATGCTATTGCGAATAACTTCAGGCAATGCCCAATTGTATGATAAACTGTGCTGAATGGAGATTTCAGCTGTCGTGTGAGTAGTTTTGACATCCCACTCCGTGTTTTTGTCTTTCCAAATAACTTCATTATGTTAGACCTTTCATGGTTATCCGACCTCTCTACTGGAGCAGTCTTCGCAAATTCCAGTGTATATCGTTTCTTTTCAGTGGCAACGAAGGCACCAAAATTGCGTCGAGCTAAGAAAGTAGCGATGGACAGGCCGTTAAGCTTGTTCATTCGTACCCAGCCAAGCTGGTCAGTTGTCAATGCATCAACCTGCCCAGTGCATCTGTCAAGAATGAGTTCTCGAATCTCTGTAGGAAGACCTTCCCAATCAATGTTTGGGTTGCATCCGAGAGCTGTATGTCTAAGAATCTCGTCGTCAAAACAGGTCGCAATACTTTCTGCATGGGCTCTCGAGGGTTTTGAGAGATTCAAGAAGT